ACTATGCAATTTTCATCTCTTCTCTAATGCCATTTTTTAAATTTTTTTGAGTACTATGTTAATCTGCAGCAAAACATATTTATAAAACAAAAAAGAAATCAAAATCTTGTTATAAACCTTCGTGTGATAGGGGAGAAAAAAGAGGTAGTAGGGCTATAAAGTTTTGAATGATTTCATTCACTTATACAGAATGATATATGAACAATATTGTTATTACTATTGTTATTATTTGTCACAAGGTACGACCTTAATTCGACCTTGTAATTTACATTCATATTCGTGCGTAGTAGTTTTGTTCATATATATACATATATGAGCTGAATGTATGGTTGTCAATTTTTATTTGGTTTTCACGTTTGTACTAGTTTATAGAATTATGCTCAAACTAAACATGATTAACAGCAGTTATTATTATCATTAATAGTAATAATAGTGATTGTAATAGGAATAATGAACAAACATGAATATCGTATATTTGCCAAATATACATGTGGGTATGTGTAAGCTCGAATAAGTTTTTGCTATCTACATATGCCTGACTTTTTCCTATCTCTCAGTCGAATATAGGTAGTTAGATCGGTACACATTGAAAGAGGTGAAGATGGAGAGAGGTAGGGATAACAATGATTACGCATAGATTTGCCCAATATATTGTTTATAAAGTCTACCATTTACAATTCGTAACATTGTTCACTCATGATATACAATGAAAATTACAAGGAAAGCAAGAACGGAGGAAAGAGAGATGAAAAAATATAAACACCGAATTTTAAGTAGTAAAGAAAATCATTGCATGCATACGCCATCAACAAACATGTATAGATAGATTCATTCAGGCGTGTACATGAACACATAAATATACATACACATACATATTATTTTAGACAAAATATATAAATTAAAAAGAGAAAAGTAGTGTATACATTGATAATAGTTTCGTATTTACGCATACATAAAATGTAATAGATGTATAAAAGAGTGACCGAATTTATTTTTTTATAATGTATTATTTATTTTTGCGCTTGACTGTACATACTGACTGTCTTTATATCTAATATTTCTCTTCTCAATACACACGTACAAATCCCATGAACTAAATTACCATTTTCTCCCTTGAGGTCATACGATGTACATTAGGTAGTAAATAGCAATATGGTAAATATATATGTGAGTCAGACAAATTTTTTCTTATTAATAATAAGCTTAGCGGCTGTCATTATAACAAAGAGGGTGTATGTTATTACGTGAGTTCGATTTTGAAAACATGGCTTGCAAGAGTTGTACACGGAAATTTTATGTTAGATACTACAGTATGTTATTCATGCCTCATGGGGCTGTCACACGAACAAAGCGAAATTTTCACATCGATAAAAATGACTAAAACATTGATGGGGGTGGGGGTGGTAATGTGTCGTTCAAATGTAGGGAATGAAAATGAATAGGAAATTCGTAAATATATATTTGTATTTTAGAGCAGTATTTGAGCAGATGGACAGACCAAAAACCCAGTAGTAATCAGTAATAACAGAATTAAAGCTGAATTAAGCTAGAGACGTGAAAAACGCATGCATATATGTGTGCAGTTTTGTATATATTTCTATATGTGTGTTAGATAGTACGTAATTCAGACCACAAATCCTATGTTATCCAAACAATGTATGGTGGTATGACGTTATCTAATCGATCTGTTAGTTACTTAACATATGTATGGTATGGGTGAGCGATTACAATGACTTATAGGTACATCTTTTTTCAGTCAAAACATGCGTACACATAAACGTAGATACACACATATAGAGGAATACAAAGTTTTTATTTTGTATGCACAACAAAGCTTTATTACCACATTGTTATAAGGTGACCTGGAGATTCTCTGCTCTTAAGAACAAACACGAATCAAATAAAGAAATAATTTTGAGAAAAATCGTAATATTCTGTGTACAAAGATATAGACAACAATTTGTTAAAAAGAAGAAAAAGACGAAACTGGAAATTAATTAATGACATCATTGTACTGAACTAGGATGAAACCTAGAAGAAAAAGAATTATCAACGGACCGAATATCTTAATCCATGACTAAATGATTTAACTAATTTTTTAATGACATCAATTAATAAATCTGTATATTGTTCTGTTTGGATGAGGGTAGTATTTCTGACTTTTGAATAAGCATGAATACCTTGAAGATTACAGGTATATCTTACTGACGAGTGGTGAACGGAAGGGAAATTAGGTTTAAGGTTTCCTTCTGATCACCATTTCACAAGCAAGTATGATTCTAAGTATGATGTACACTGAATGTGTTATTGGTTAATCAGTTAATTTGGCTATGTCGACTGAATCAATTTATCCGTGTTAATCGTTGTGTTAATATTTATACAAATAACATGGCTAAACTGATATCTATTCTAGAGATAACCATTTTTTCTTTTTCTTTTTCATTGAAATTGCTGTTAAAGGTTATATGAACATACACTTATGTTCACATCGAGATAACAATTCATTGTCCTTGATCTTGACCTTGAATGTATCAGTCAACATATGATCTAAATTTAGTCAATGTACTTTTTCGTATCAGTTAACTCATGTATATACGAATCATTGATATGTATACAACATTTATATATCCTACCATTTAGATAACATATCCGACTTACTAATACAATTATATTGTATTTGAAAGATGATCACTGGAGATCTTCATTTCCATCTTATATGATACCGTGTGTATGCGTTAATTACTAAGGTATCTTGAGGTAGAACATAATAGTCACTCAGTGATTCTTTATTTCCAACACATTTTATTAAATGAGGTAGGTTTATGCGGAGATGGATGGCGGCTAGCGATAGGAGCCAGCTTTATGTACCTGTATCTTAGAGTTAATGCACATTCCAGGACTCGAACCCAGCACTTTCGGCTTCAAGCATCAATGAGTTATCCACTTAGCTACTGAGTCCAGATAGCTACTAGTTTGTACAACAACTAATATATTTATATATGAAGGTAGGTTTCACATACATTTTTTTGAACGTAAGTCTTTACATTAAAATTATTGTCGTTTAACTGACACTTGACAATTAACTTTGATTGTGTAAATGAATAGTTTGAATAAAAAATCCTATTGGAATTCTATTTATTTATGTATTTTCTATTATTAAACATAGTTATTTTATAATTTTGTTTGTCTAGTTAGTGATTTAACACATGCCTAAGTAAGTTTTAATTTAATACAGTCGAATAATCAAATATTTGATACATCTCGTACGTAAGACTATTGTTAGTACACAGTTGGCTAAAAGAAAATTGAATTAAATCATCTACGAAATAGTCCAGTGTTTTAAGTTATTAGAACATTACAACAGTTTACTCGAAACCCCTTCAAGATAATAATCCCATCTTGATGATAAGTGTTGACAGGCATGAAACTTAATTTTTAAGAAAGTTTCCAACTGATTATTTTCAATTACTTAACATTTTAACAAAGTACACTCAATCCCGAGTCGATTAGGTTAGTGGTTCACCTGTAAAACGATCAATAAAATTTAATTAACACTAAAAGATTAAACAAACATTAAGTAAAATTCTATGTATGAATCAGTTATTGTGAATTAAATGTTCACTATGCTAGATCCTTTATATATACGATCACATATACTGTTTCAATACCTTTCATTAAGTTTATTCCGTCTTATGTTACTATGAAATGTTATTCCATTTATTTACATAAACGAATAGAATCTAAGAGTTGTTTATTTGTCTATTAAAAAGAACATTATATATAATATACTGTATTTATGGAACTTTTATACTTTTTTAATCTACCAAGTCGGAATTTAGTGATCTCAAATTTTTTTAATGATTAAAGCGATACAACTACGACAATTTACTATAATGTTAGAATTTCATCTAGAAGTTATTTACATAATTATTATTTAGTTTGATTTCATCTATACTGAAATTTTACGTCGAAAATTGATATCAACCAGGAAACTAGTAAAAGATAACAACTGAAAATTATTACTAATATCAATTAAAAATGAAAATGAGGTCATTTTTACTGCAAAATAATGATTTCTTAAATTGAATCCAAATTAAAGATGATCATGAAATTCAGTTCATGAAATTAACAAGTTGTAATTATGGTAAAAAGAATTTGGTTGCAAGTGACCCAATTTTAATACTTTCTTAAATGAAGATATTCAAATTTAATTATGAGTACATCGAATTTAAATCCTTCCGTCTAAGAATGTATTAAACTTCGTCCGCTGGTAATATTTGATTATCTTAGTACACTTATAACCAAACACTTCTACAAGAGCACCCACAACTCAAAACAACTGTCACCTAACACCAAAATCGGAATTCTCAATACATACATCGAGACAGTTCTATAATACAGAGATGAAAATCGGAGAACTACTACAACCGTTATCAAAAAGATATGCGTGTTCATAAACAGTTGTCAATACAAGATAATTCGGATTCGTACGCCCTACACCATCAGCAACAACCTACAGTGGGGAAGAACAAACCACTGGAAGTGAGTAGGACATAACACATATTAAACTAATTATCAAACTGTATCATAAAACAACCCTTAACATGGAATCCTGAAAGGAAAAGGAAAAGAAACAGACCGAAAAAACACATTACGCTGGGAAGTAGAAGCAAACGTCAGAATAATCAATAACACATGGGAACAGCTGGAAAGAATTGCCTAGGTCAAGGTTAGTTAGAGGATCGTAACTGATGGTCTATGCTCTATAAGAAGTAACAAGTATAAATAAATAACCCATCACCAACAATATTACTGATTAACTCAAATCAAAGGAAAACATCCATTTTCCGGACAAATAAAACTTTTTTTAATGAAGAAAATCCATACAAACCATTATTATTATTATTATTGTCTTGATTTTCAACCAAAACGTTACTCTTGTTTATCTGTACAGATTTCACCCATTAATCAGTCAAATAATTATCATTAGAATAACTTACATGTAATTGTTTTTCCGTCAGTTCAGGATAAATATATTGATTAGATAGTTTATTTACATTCATTTTATTATTTTGCATAATATTCAGATTAGTATTTATACTATTAATTGTAGTAGGTAAAGTAGTTTTTATATGATTAATGTTATTTATAGATTGTGATGCATTTATTTGACTATCAGTATCAGATAATCCATCAATTGGATCACATAACAATGTTGAAAAATTTGATGCTTTCAAATTAATTGGATCAGTAATATTATTTGATATGTTCTTAATGAATGATGATTGGTGATATGTAGTAGGTGTAGATGTGGGAAATTTTTGATTGAAATGAGCATCACGATTCTCATTATTATTATTATTATTATTATTATTATTATTATTATTATTATTATTATTATTATGGATATTAGCGTTACTGTTGTTTTTATTATAAGCAGCTTTACATGTTTGTGAATGTCGTTTTAATGTACCATTTTGTGAGAAAGCTTTACCACAATGCCGACATATATACGGACGTTCACCTGAAATAAATAAATTGTGAAACAAAGAATTATAACCATTATTGTTATTATTATTATCATTATTATTATTATTACTATATATATATATATAGCGTATCTAGTATTTATCAAGTGAATCAATATTATACTGAAATTGAATTCTAAAAGTCTTAGTTTTGATAGTGTACATAATTGCAAATGGGTACTGCTAAAGAGCCCACAAAAAACTAACTGTATTTTCCAAATACTATCTTAATATTAGTAAAAAAGAATTCTTTCAAAAAATAAATATGGTAAATGGATTATTATTATTATCATTAGGAAATTTCTGTATTTCAGCTTTTGATTAAGTTGTTTCCAACTATGACGTCCTTACTATAGACTGATATCATGGTCATCATCATCATTATCATTATAGCTTAGAGATTATGAAACGATTATTTCCCCTTCATTCAAAACTATTCAATACAATGTTCATTGATTATTCCATAGAAAATATATAAAAATAAATAAAGTCTAGATTACTGTCAGTAAACTATAAAGAGGGAATTTTTATTTGGATCATATTGGAAAGTATCAGCTAATTATTAAATGAAACGGTAGATTATTTGTATTAACTATTAAGTTGACTTATTTTAAATATTAATTGAATTACTATTAAGATATAGTAATACTAAATTATTGTCTTGTTTCCTTTTTATAATCAATGTTTAAAATGTCTGTGTTTGTGAGTAACAAAAAGTACAAAAATCAATTGTACCTGTAAGAAATAAAAATTATTTTCGCGATAAGATATTGGATAATTATATAGATGAGTACATTCATTAAAATTCAGATTATTTCTGGAGCTGGCCTTCAAATGAATGTAGGTAGATAGTAAAAGTTTAGGTTATAAATATGTATATGATATTTTGATTGCATAACACTACAGAAACATGATAATTAGATCAATTACAAACCAAATGCTTTTTTAATGAAAACAATCAGTTTGGGAGCGAGTAAGAGAGTGAGTGAGAGCGAAAAAGTAATTAAACTGATTAGACATTTAATTTACTAATCTATTGACTGCAAAAATGCATCTATTAACATGTATCTAGGTAATAATATCATAAAATATATTGTATAAACAGATAATAAATATTAGACCATCATTAAAAACCTAGGAGCACTGGACCACCGTTTCGTCCTGGTATGGGACATCTCAGCAGTACTCACCCACTATCCCGTACGTGGCACTCAAACTCCGGGACCTACGGTCTAGCACGCAAACATTTAATCCCTAGACCACTGATCCAACATCCAACGGAGTTGATTTCCAACTTTAACTAATTCAATGCTTTCAGGTTTTCAGTGGTGGTTTAACACTGATAAGTTCATGATCTCAATTAAATCTCAATAATCTCTACAACTTTATACAGATAATAAATAGTCTAATATCACCAAACCAAAAAGAGAGTTGAGCTAACTATTTACCAACTGTAAATTAAATGTTTAATTATTACATTAAGAAAGAAATCAATACCACACTTATAATAACGTCATTATAGCCTCTTTATTAAACTATCTTCTGTATATTTGTCATGTTCTACAACAAAAAAACCAACTAAAGTAGTTTACTGTTTATTTATTAAAATTTCTCAGTTATCTAGATAAGTCATACAATGTTAATTTAATTCAGTAGTATATTATATATAATAGTTCTTCATTATAACATTATATTGATAAGTATATATATATATATATATATATATATATATATATATATATATATATATAATGACAGTAATGTATTCTTATAATTATTTTAATTTAGATCATAAACATAAGAACAGACATAAATAAATAAGATACATGGATATTACGTCATTTATTTGATACACTTATTGTATTTTTGTCGACTTCATAAGAGAATATATAGAAGGACAATGGAAAAAAGGGTTGTACACCATCTGTCAGCCACATGATTTGACTGGATTATACATTATATTCAGATATATATTTACTATTCATTTTAGTAATGACAATAATAATAATAATTATTATTATTATTATTATTATCAGTATTATTATTAATTTCGTATGAAGAAAATGAACAAGCAGGTATCAATTCAAGAATAAATCACATGATAAACATGTAAGACAAGCAACGATTATAATGAATTAAATAACTTATGTTTTCTTTTTATTACTCTAGTTAACTAAATATAAATTCAGTTAATTAAATAGATATTGTCCCGAACGAAAAGTGGAGGTTGAAAATGTGATTAACCAGAAACCCTAGATGCAGGTCTCGTGCTATTTAATACTTATTTGAAAAATGTACCTGTAATCTTAAGAGAATTGAAGTTCTCTTGGTAGATTCAATTCAATATTACCCAGCTTCATAGTTAGTGAAGTTAGAACTGTGCTATTTAGATCACGACTAAATTCTTGTAGGACTCAGATGTATTTATAATAGAATTTAATTAGTATTATGAATGATTTGATATACATGACATTGGCTATTATACAGTAATCAATCAACTGTTTCAACTATAACTGCTACATTAACGTAGTGGTTCAGTTTGAGTATCATGATGATTTAATTGAAATATTTTGGCTAGAGTATGTATTCATTTAGGTTTGCCTGTTTCAGGTACGGTCGATAGTGGGGAGAGTCCGTTCTCCCCCTCGAAATGCTCTCACATGGCCACGCGTATATTGCCTCTGCCAGGGAAGTTCTACTCACTGCCTTCTCATGGCGGGGGTATTGTTTACGAAATTGGGAGGACGAAAAGCGAATGTCCGGCGCTTTACTCGGGTTGGTGGATATGGGGAGTCCAACTAGGGGAGTTGGAAAACCCTGATTCCGAACCAATGGTGCACATGAGCTCCAGTACCCTGGAGAAACAAATGGCGTATGAACCAATCGTTGGTCACCGACTACCATGGGACTACATCTCCTTACGATGCCCCACTGCCTTGTGGATCACACCTTTAGGTCGAAGGCTCCGGGTGTGACCTCCTAAGAAAACCACCTGCTTCGGTCTGGGCACCTGGGCAGTATCACAGCCTTCGCACAAACCAAATGAGATTTGTGTGGCGCATATTTATTTGGCGTCTCCTTGTACCAATATCTATGTGTTCATTTAATTTTTTTTAATAATTAATCTGCAAAAAAATCACTGTCATTTTATTTACAGATATACTCATAACGATGTGTTTGTTCTAGTCATTCTCAAATTTCATTCCATTCATAAATAATTTATTATGTAATTTATATTAGTATTAAATGATTTATCTAGTTTATTTATTCAACTCCAAATATTACGTAATTACACGTATAAATATTACTCCTTGTACTATTGACAAATAATCCCCATAGTTGTGTACAATGAGCTTCGTTTTATTTTTTGGTGAAAGAAAGACACAACATAATTTTCTCGTTTTCCATTTAGAACTGAACATTTGTATTCAATCTTTCATGGATTTTAACAGATGAATTATATCTCTTTTTTTTTAATTTCAGCTTTATTTCCTATAAAATACATAAAAACAATTGAAATTCAATAAGATTTAAGCGGCTGAATTAATTAATATTTTTTTAAATTTAGATTTTCTTTCTCATATTGAAACACGGATTATTACTTATGTTATAGTTTACATGAATGTACAGCATTAAAAATGGAGAGGACATTATTTCACCCTCACGCTCAAGGAATATATGACTGGGTGTGTACACCTATATTTCAGGTGCGCATATAATGTACACACGGTAAAGTGCTATCACAAACAACTGTCACGTTGCCGTCAGTTGAGCCATGAGTAAAATAAGAAAAGTCAATCTTCTCAATTGTGTGTGGTTGGGAGAGGAGTGAGGTGTTTGATTTGAGAAAATTCTTATAACATAGTATTATTTCATACCATTTCCTAAAATTCCAGTCATATTACATTGATACTATGTAATACTGGTCCAGTCTTTGAGCCAACTAGATGCATATTCAAAACCTTAAACCTCAAATACTTATTTCGATCTTGCTAGTCTGATGAAAACATAACGAAACTTTATATAAACTTGTGTAGCTTAACACTAAATGCATATATTATCTACTTCTATGAATTTTTTGAGATGAATGAATAAATATTTTGTTATCTTGACTTTTAGTCATTAAACTTCAAAGTCAATCAGATTGGAATATTTCATTTTTGTGTTCAGAATACGGTGAATGTAGAGGACAGTTTTAATTATCTTTAAAAATACCGTTGGATGATGTTCAGTTGTATGCCTATTATAATTGCTTAATTATGATTTTCTTTAATCATTTTCTATAAGTTACTAGAGAGAGAGAGGCAAATTTAAAATAATCTTAGAATAATTATAAATAACAGTATTACACATTACTCAATCACGATACATCATCGAATATGTGCAGGTTTTTGTCTCATTGTTCGAATATTATTATTATTTGAACACATAGATATTGGTACTGGAGCTCATGTGCACCATTGGTTCGGAATCAGGGTTTTCCAACTCCCCTAGTTGGACTCCCCATATCCACCAACCCGAGTAAAGCGCCGGACATTCGCTTTTCGTCCTCCCAATTTCGTAAACAATACCCCCGCCATGAGAAGGCAGTGAGTAGAACTTCCCTGGCAGAGGCAATATACGCGTGGCCATGTGAGAGCATTTCGAGGGGGAGAACGGACTCTCCCCACTCTCGACCGTACCAGGGCATTTGATTATATCCTATACATGGCCATAGTTATAATCAAATTTCAGTTAATTAATGTTGCTTTATTCGAATTTATTCTTTTTTCTTTTAAATTTTGTTTTTGAAAATAATCAGATAATGTAAATTTAATTGATAGTAAAGTACAAATGTTATAAAATATAATTAACCTACAATATTAGAGTATTTGTTTCTATTGGATAAAATTTAATATTAGATTATAATGATCTATTTGTATTTATTTTCTATTATCTTTTACACTGTTTGGAACCTTTCAATTCTTTATTCTACTTCTTTCTCTTTTCGATTTTA